TTATTTTTATTTCCTTGTTAAAGGAAATCCATTGTTAATCCCATAGACTTTGTACACAATGTTTCTGTGTGGCACTTCTGGCGTTTGTCCGACATCGTTCAAAGTCAGCATATGCATTGTCCTTATCATGATTACGTCATCATGCGATTTTATATGAATTTTTGAATTTTGGACCATTAGGCCTAAGCCATATTTCACGAACGCAACATGCAAAATTCAAAACTCTTTTTGTATTTGGTTTGTTAGGTAATAGGCATTTTCACAAAAGTTTGAAAAATTTGTGACGTCATCATGACGTCATCAAAAATGAAATTTTTCAAAACACATATATAAGGAAAGATCTGATCGTCATGAAACTTGGTGGGTAGGTAGATAACGGTACATGTACTAGTATGCATCGGTTGATTTTTTTATGATTTTTTTTAATATTTATAATATTCTGCTTCCAAAATTGCACACTTCCTTTCATCGGATTGACTTTAAACTTGGTTCAAACCAAGATCACAGTGACAAAATGTGCATAGAGAAGGGTTTTCAAGATGACGTCATTGCAGGGCATGTGACGTCATGTGATAAAATTATATTTTAGGAATTATTGTAAGCATTTTGAACAACTTATAACTGTATCTTGAAAGCACTCTAAAAAGTGACTGCAAAAGGTCCAACAAAACATTAACATGAGTAAAATGTGAAAAAGCCCTATGTTCTGTTTTCAAACAGACATAGACCTCTAGTTTATTTAACTGTTTCTTGTTCTATTGTTAAGCGCTTTGAGGAATCTTTGATTCATATTGCGCTATGTAAATGCTGTATTATTATTATTATTATTATTATTGCCCCAAAATGTATTTCCAATAATGTGACTCGTGACTCGGACTCAATCTTTGTGACTGGTGTACTGGTAAGGGGTTTGCGCCAGTGGTTTATGGTTAAAGGGAAAATACAACATTTGCAAACATCAAAAAATAAAACTACCAAATCATTTTGAAATACCTTGCTGGACTGTTAGTGAATGACAGTGTAAAGCATCCTGTAAAATCATGGCACCTGGTATACTGTCATTTTTAAGAAAAGTGGTATTTTTGTATCAATTTCCAACGCTGATCGGCCGATCAGCGTTGGAAACAACTGGCTTTTTTTTATAAATACTGGCTCCAATTGACCATCGCACTTGTTTGCAATCGATTACAAACCTATGAACGGGTACGAGCCAGCTACACTGGTTCCCTTACCTTACAATTCCCCAATGTATGTAAACTGCTCTGATTCTTCTTATATGGAGTCAGGGAACCAGACTACAGGAAAATGATCGTTTTTCTTGGTTTTTATAGCATTTTCAAACCCAAAACCTCAAAAAAGTCAGTGTAACTATATTTGCTATATATTTCCAACCCCCAATTCCATCCATTTCTGAAAATTACAGCAAAAGCAAATGATGTATATTCCCTTTAAGGGAAGACGGTGAACTTGCAGCCAAAGAGTTAAGTGTGGAACTTATCATTTCTACACCATTCTACACAATAAACAAACAAATCAACCTGATTTTTGATATTTCTGCGTGCAGCAGCAACCGGGCATGACGGCCCAGTGTTTATTTACAATCATTCAATATTTTAAACCTTATACAGATATAATGTAAGCATAGTAAACAGATGTATCGTATATTCGTAAGAGTCTTCATTTTCCATATGTCCTTATATTTGAGTGAGAAATTCAATATTCGTATTAGTTTCCTCATTGTAACCTTTTGTTTTACAGAGTGTTAAACCATGCATGTACAATGTATATCAGTTCTTACTCTTCTTTACAGCTGTCACAGCTGTTGTTTCTTCATACAACGCTTGATATTAATCCCATTACTGTGTTGACTGCCAGATACACAAAAAACCAGAAAAACTTTTGGAAACATGGAAACGTATACTTGATCTAAAAATTGCAAGACAACTCCTTCAGGCTAGGGTAGCAATAATAACAAAACTTTGCTAAATATACTGGTGTTAAAAATTGTGTGTTACCATTGCTGCTCGCAAGCGTGAAATGATTCAGCTTCAAACCAAACATGTATACAGGTACATGCAATTTCCCATTTTGAACAACTCTACCATATCTCATTTCCACATCAATGCTAAAGTACATTTATTCTAATTCGCCTCAATACCCAACCGAATAAATCAACATTTCTTGATGCCAAATATAAGTTATAATAAGGGCTACAGCCTTTCTGTTGATGCTCAAGTCTGTGCTTTGGGAAGGGGATAGGCTGTTTGAAGCAAACGCAATAGGCTTCCCTCGTTGGATGATGCACCTCCAGGACAGTCTCTACCTGTGATGTGCCTACGTTGACCCAGATACCGGTATATGAATAGGACCACCTTTGCTCCGCCCCAATGTCCTGCAACACTTACGTATCGCGCCGGTGGTCCATATTTATTGGCATTATACGTTTATTGGCATTATACTAATAGGCTGGTGTACGAGTTTCCCTGTCTACTCGAAGGGGTCATCGACTTGTTTGACTTTACACATTGTCGATGGCTGTTCCAGGCAAATTGCAAACTTAAAAAGAATTTTTAATGTGATATAGCCACTATGTGGTCATTACATGAATTCTACATGTCTTATTTATTATAAAATGTGTTATTTTTGCCGGAATTATCCGTCATTTTGCACAGAGATTGAATTTTATACTGGTGTTCAGTACCATTTGTTTGGATTTTTTTGTGCATTCACGTGCAATCACATGCATGGCCCGGCCGATTGCAGTCGGCTGTTTATTATTCTCGTTCCAGGGCCACAAATGCCACTAATAATGCATAGGGCTGATGTCTTCACTGCATGGCATATAATTTATGTTTACACAAAATAAATGATATCTTCTTAACTACTGATCATTTCAAAAAGGAGTTAATTGTTCCATTTTCCAAGAGTTTTGATTTGATGCTACATGTTAAGTTTTTGGCACCTCATGTTTAAAGGAATTTTGCCCTGACAACCCTAATTTATAATGAGGGAATAAATGTGTGTTTGGGAGGTACATGTATTATAACACTCTGTTTAAGACCGGTTTGAGTCTGGATGGGCGATAATTACCAGAGGCGAAGCCGAGGGTAATTATCGCCCATCCAGACTCAAACTGGTCTTAAACAGAGTGTTTAATACCGACCGAACACACATACCTTTTCGGTCCAAAATAATTTTTAAAAATGTCAAAAACTAGACGTTGCCAACCATTTTGTTCAACAATTTTACATCATGTTTTACGAAACACCCCTCTGACTTTAATATGGAATGCCCCTCCACAACTCGTTACCTTATAGGGACACATGGCGTGCGCGTCACGCGTACTGCGCGATGCCGCGCAAAACGCAGCTGGGCTGGTGAAGTGTGAATTTGAGACCATGAAATACTGATTCACTGGTAGTACACTGCGCATGCATACGGGAGGAATTTGAACGTTCAACCAATGAAACGTTAAAAGGCACGGGATTTCATAGGAGTCCAAATTTCATGTGACACTGGAAAAGCGTTTAAGACCAGCTAGCCATGTCTTTATCATCCGTTTAAGACCGGCCACGTGACAGGCTCTCGACCAATTGGAATGCATAAACTGTCTAGTAGGTATTTATGAATACACATTTAATTTTCGGCTATACCGGTAGTAAGCAGGGAATTTTTGCTAACTGTAAGCAGAGCCAAATTGGGCCCCAATCTGGTCCATTTACAGAAAATTAAAAATAGAGTAGCCTGAGTCATCTTTTCCCTTCCAAGACATATGCTCACTCATCTCTGCTATTAAGCAGCTTCATTGGCTCCCAGTTAAGAAACACATCATATAATAAGACGGTGTTTATGGTGTACACAGCTATCACTAAATCATCCCCAGCATGCCAGCACACAGTTGAGTTCATTGGACATTACAACCACCAACAAGAGGACACTTGCACTCCCCGGGCGACATACATGTTCTCAGCACTGCAAAAAAAGCAGGAGTTAAGGCTTTTACTTATAGCTGGCCTAAGAATCTGAAATTCCATCCCACAATCAGTTCGATACATTACCTCAATGCCAATGTTTCCATCTTCATTTAAGACTTAAATGCACTTTTTCCCTGTTCATACTTGGTTATGACTATCATTACATTTATTCTTAACTGGTCTTCAGAATATGCCCACAGGTGGTATAGGCCTGATGCATTAAGGTTTAATCTTTATTGCCTGTTTTTCTGGCTGGCTAATTGTCGTTGCCCTGCATACATAGGATCAAGCATTGTTTGAGAAGTTTGAATTCTTCCGCCGAGTCTTTAGCCTGCCAATTCATTTCAGGATATCTTGGCCCTGATGGCTGGCATTGAGTAACAAATCATGTACATGTACAATGTACATCAATGATATTGGTTAACGAATCTATTATTTTTCTATATGTCTTACTACATGTATACTTACCTGGTATGAGGGTTATTATTGTCCCTTTCGTTGTTATTGGTACTTGACATGTTCAACAAGATTTGCACACAAAAATTTGTCTCACATCCTCAAGGTTGTTAATATTGTAGAGCGCCATGGTCCAGTGGTTACGGTGTTTGACTCACAAGATGGTGCGTCGGTTCGAATCCTGCCAGGAACACAGTGTTTGTGTCCTTAAGTAAGACACTTAACTACTATTGCCTGTCTCTACCCAGGAGTATAAATGGGTATCTGTGAGGGTCGAAGACCGATTGAGCACCGATATCGGCTGCTGCTAGGTCCCATGGCCTGATGAACGGGGTATAATTGTAATAATTTTGCTATACATGTTTAAGCACCACAATTATTGTCAGAGCAACCCATTGCCTTAATACACCCTGACACACCAAAACACCACACACATTAGGCACATTGGATTTCATACATGTATTAGCAAGAAAGACAGATTTGACAGAGAACTACTGCCATACGCAGAACTGAGTATGTTGTACATGTAGTAGTCCTTTACATGGATTTTAATTGTGACCCATTTTACAGGATACTCACAGGGTGCGATGATTACCAGAGCAAATGATGGAACTTTTGCTGGCCCAGCAGCTACCCCCACCCTTCGATCACCGGGTTGCACTGCATCACACCACCGGCTCACTGATTGCACCGATTTCCAGTATCAGGAGAATTTGACATGCACCAGTGAGGTTGACTTGAGTTGCTATGGTAAGTTCTTCTAACATTTTTTTCGCCAAGAATTCCAAGGTGACAAGGCAAATCCCTTCTACATGTATTTTCTGTTCCAGGCTACATCTACCAGGCTTTAATCTGTTGTTTTTTATCTGTTATTTTCAGCAGTCTGTTTTCCAACACTGCTATGCTATAAAGTGCAAAAAGGTGTGGGTGCCCTGGCTGGCACCTTATTGTAGTGGAGGTTTTCTATTGTTGTAATAGGGAAATTAGGACTGAGTTGTGGGTACTTTCTGCTGTTCCAACAGCGTTTGTCCCCTACGGTAATAACTGTCACTCATCAGGTGTGTATGTAGTCCCCACAATTACAGAACAAGTATACATGTATGTGTGTTCACATGTTGAGTGGCAGGGCGCGAAGCCACCTCCCCGTAAAAGCGGGCGAGACATGGTGAGGCCTTGAGTTGCCACAATTTTATATTTCTTTTGTGTACTGAAGAAATGCAAATTTTTGTGGGTGTTAACCTTTGCAGGCCTGCCAACTCCATGCATTGAGTGTAAGACTCGCGCATTTAAGGTTATTCTCATGCTTTCACACCCACACAGGATTTCTCACGCTAAAAAAACTCTCCAAAATGATGTTTAAATGATGATCTTTTGCTCAAAAAATTGGTTAAGGTGGTCATAAATCGCCTTAGATCACTCCACAGAGCATCTATAGAATCCAACATTTGTGGTTCATAACTTCATAAAATGTTATGTCAAACCAGTGAAGTATTCATCCAAGTAAATGACGGTATCAATGTCAATGTTGTTGCGGATGACTGTCTCACTATGACATGTTGTTCCTTGCTTTTTTGCTGTGGGTTTCAATGCATTACATGTAGCAGCTGGACGTCATTGTATTATACTAAAAATCATTAAAACCATAAGAGTGCTCGGGCAGTTTCAGGCACTATATAGCGAGTAATGGGCAAGGCGGTTGCATAGTGACTAAAGGGTTAACTACGTGTAACTTGATTTGCAAGTTATGTTTTGATTGAAAAATCTTGTTTTACTATTTTTCAAATGATCATGGTTATTTCTTTTGCATCATTTTTCCAAATATCGGTACCTTGCTAGCCAATGACTTCAATGGTTGTTTCTCGAACACACCCCAATCTTGGAATATGGATGAAAAACTACCTGGTGCATCAAATAGCATTGAGTCGTGTCTGGATTTCTGCAGGAGCTCATCACTCAATCCAAGGTATGGACCAGGATGCCAAAAATACATGAATAGCAATGAATACATCAAAGGATTTCCATTGGCACTGACAGTAATCCTGGGTTACTTAACGTTTCATCCATTGAATGCTGAAGGATTCCACTTTGCCCCTCCTGTCAAGGTATGGAAGAGAAGTCAGGTTGTTCAAGCGCAAATTAATTGTGCCCTCTGTCGTTCTTATCGCACTAGTCAGAAATTGCTGTATCATGACGCCATCGACACTCATTTGTGGGTCGAGAGCCAAGCGAGTTTTATATCATGAATATTTATATCAGGTAATCTTTGACATATGATTGGTGGATGAATCGGTCAAAGATCAAAATGTTTCTTATTAAAAGTTTGTTATTTTCCCCTCATTTTTGTATATAAACAGCAGCTCATGAATATTGAATTACTAAAAATGACCTAGGGCAAAATTCGTGTTTGACCGAGCTGATTACCACGGTGTGCGGGTATGTGACAAATTTTTGCCACATTAAAAGGTGCTTTTCTCCAACCGAGAGGTTCCCCAATGTAAGTCCAACATCAAATTTGTTTTGGAGATACTGTACGTGTTGCAGTTGTTTTCGTTCGGAAGGTAAGGCCAGCGGTAGATTAATTGCTGTAGATGCAAAAGGTGACATAGTTTGTTGAGTGTGCAGAATGGCAAACGGTTGAGTTGGCTGTAAAGTGTACATTATGCACATGTGTAGAGTACGCATAGCCCTAGCGCATGGTGGTTTAGAGTTAACTCGACCGTTTGCTACATTCATACAGGAGTCTGCATGTAGAAAGCTCATGCTTATAATAATATACTAACTATCATTATTCTCCACATACTTGATCTGGAGTTCACTGCTGCTGAATTTCCCCCACAAACCACCAGCCTGTGAGCTTCAGCGCTTGACTTCGCTGCGCTGAAGGTCAGCAGGCAGGGCAGGGCGACAACCCCGTGTTAACGCTACCTACGCATGCCCCGGCAGTGTGTGCATGCATTCATGCTCTACAGCTATTGCGCCATGTGATGTGTGTGTGTACTGCACGGTGGTCTGTGAAAAATGGCAGTTTTTTATCGGTTCTAAAAAAAAAATCTACCGCTGGCCTTCGGATGATATTTCATGAGTCGTTTAAAGTGGTCATAATTTACAAGAAGTGACCAAGGAATACTTGGGGAAAACCTCGCATCAATAATAAAATGGGATTTTCTTCAGGATTTTTAACAACTTTCCAAACAAATAGCGACAGAAAACTTCACGCATGAAGCGTAATTATACCCGATTTTCACAGATATTTTGAACATTATGGGCCAGCTCAATCTCCCGATATTTTAAAATGAGATTTATTTATCAGAATTAATATATTGCACCATAAGTCATTGTGTAAGTCATGCTTTAGGGGCAAATTTGGGTTATGTTTTTCGTGTTTTGTTTCTGTGAAAATTTAGGACGCCATCTTGGATTTCCAAAGTTGCATGATGTCATCACTTTTCTGCACTGGAGTAAAAATAAATGTCGTACGGACAAAAACGATCAAGTTTATTACATTATGTCTATGTGGGTGAAACGACCGTAAAGTGTAGTTACCCAGGGTCCACCCTTAACTTTTTTTTTAATCCTAAGTGACGTCATAATGACGTAATCGGGTGATTTTTTAATCATTTTTGTTTTTGAAAAAAATGTTCAGGAAAAGCCTTGTGTTCTGTTTATTGAAAAGACATAGACCTCTAATATTATTTTATGGTGACTGTCCCGTCACATATTTTTATGTGACAGACAGATAATAACCCCTGCAAAACGTCATCTTTTGTATTTTTGCTATAACTGATGCCAATTTTTTTTTTTTGGGGGGGGGGTGATGGAGCAGGGGGGGATTTCAACGGCCAAACCCCCCCCCCCCCCCTTCTGGATCCGCACCTGGGGCTACTTTGAAAATGCTGCTGTTGTTAGTAACAACAGCAGCATTGTTACTCGCATTTGTAGTTATCAAAGAAAAACATCAATATGCACTCCTTTCTCAATTTATTATTCACACAATGCTTTTTTGTTGTTTCCCAGTTTTTTATACTGCAATCATAAGCAGGATGCTCACGGTGGATTTTAACTTATAATCAGATTCTTAACATCGGTTGAGGATTTTGCACCTTGTCCAGTTTGAAAGCTGATTTGATGATGTGATGGATCTACCCACACAGTTGCAAAAACAGTGAACATTTATAGATAAGTTGATGGACTTGACATTTCCTCAATTTCTCCTTTCTCCCATGCTTTAGGCCCGTGGAGCATAAACAAATACGTGTACTTTTGCTTGAACACAGAAGGCTCAATAGGGACCCAGTAACTGGAGCCCTTGAAAACCTCTTTTCTTAATATTGGCTTGGATCGTTAGTACTAGCCAAGCAAAAATTAAAAAGAAAAAAAAATTCCAGAATCCCAGGTATAGGTTTGATGAGGGTTCAAAATGGTCATGTTTCAAAGAAATTAAGATGACTAGAGCAAAGATATGTAACGGTGGACTCCTCAAAACAAATATGATTGCACCATAAGCTCTGGCCATGTTGCAAGTAGTCTTGCATGAAAATCTTGCATGAAAGCGATCAAAATGATCCCTGCCAGAGCTTAAAAATGTGACGCTAAAAAAAGGCCACGCTGATGGCAAATATGGAACACCATTCTTTTGGTCAATTTTCGGAGACAGAAAGACAGACAGACTGACCAACCGACCACCAAGTGACATGTAGAAGCTGCTGCCAGAGCTGAAAAAGAATACTTGAATGTTTGTTTTATTTATTTATTTCTTTGTTGCAGATTTGCGGCACTTGCTGAAAGTCGGTGTTTTTGTGGCTCTGATGAGGGTAACATGGGTAGCGTTGTCTCCAAACTCAACTGTGCATTGCCATGCAGTGGGGACCCCATGGAAGCATGTGGATCTAATACTAATGGCTACTTTGCAATATGGCCAGGTGAGCTAAAACAATGAACTGGTTCTATCTACCATACACACATGTACGTTTTTTTTTTAAAACTGACCAATATTTGCAATCGTTACTAAAACATTTTTTGGGATGAAGTTCTCTATATTATTACACATTAATTTCTTGTAATGAAACCAAGTATTCCAAAGCCTATATAGCCAGTACCATTACAATTCGAGCCTGAATATAACTTGGAAACACAATGACAAACTATTCAGTTTTAAAGGTGGTAGAAAATCCCAGATAGGAAAAACATGAGTCATAAATAATGGCTGTTAAAGAGCTTGAAAGATTCTGAGGCTTAAGCCGGCCTGAGGTCGACCCGCGATTCGCTTGCACCGCGACAGAACCGTCGGCATCAAGCAGAAAAATAATGGTCAGGTCACAAAACTGAGAAATCGTGTGATTCTCTTGAAACAAGCGGCATCTCGACGCAAAATAATCGCAGCCATGCTCATGTCACCCAGGACGCGACGATCCACCTCGATTCCACAACATAGACTGTCATGTGGCTTCTTTACTAATAAGAGAGTAAATATGTGTTTGGCCGGTTCGGCTCGAGCCATTATCAGCACGCATTCCCCTGATACTGTCTTAAATGTACTTGTGGTATTCCCATTCACAAATACCTTTGAGTCAAAAAGTCGACACAAGTCAAAAATTATACATTTCCAATGATTTTTTTGAACAGTTTTATTTCATTTTTTTACACACCCCTCTAGCTATGGTATGGAATATCCTCTCGCGAGTAGGTAACAATCTCCTTATACGGTGATTGACGCGCGCATGGTGCGTACTGCATACTGCGTGATGTTGCCCAGAACGCGTGGAGTGCCAGTGTGGCTAAACAATTGAAAAGGATGATCTTAATGCGCACACGATCGCATCGTCGTCGTAGAAGTTGAAATTTTTCTATTCTTGCAACTGTTGATTTTTTTGAGTGCCGACTTTTTCTGCTCGTCTTAATATCATCGCAGTTATACTCAGGTTGCAAAAAAATCGGCGACTGAAATGTTCCAGACGGTCGTAGATCAGGCAAAGCTTGATCCTGAAAAGTCAGTCACTAGCTGATCGGTGTCGTCGCAAGGTCGACCTGAGGCCGGCTTTATAACGAAGGCCAATCAATATGTTGGCCTGGGTTGGACTTGAACCCGGTTCCATTCACCAACCAGGTCACAAGCACAAGATTTTTTCATCCAAAAATATTTTGATTTGGAAACAAACGTGCATATTGATGATTTTTATTTTCATTTCAATGGAACTTTTCTAGTTACTGTTGGTGCACCTGGGGGCGCATGGACCACCGCAACTGGCTGTCTGTACTCGCGTGACTTCCCAGCTCGATACCAGACCACGCGCATGACAACCACTGATGAGTACACAGTGACTCTACCCACGCGTGCCTACATCTCTCTCATGTTCAAGAGCTTCGACATCTACAGCGGTGACAGCGTTAAGTTGAGAGACAAGTCCGCTGGGTCGGCAATGACGACAGTGGATCTGACTCCGCCCAGCTCGCCAGGGACTGCTGTCATACCATTGGATTTTCGAGTGTCAAGATTTTCACTGCTGTTCGTTTTGGCAGCCAACTCGCCTTCAGGGAGTAATTATGGTTTTGTCATCTGCTATGAATCACTTGGTAAGTTTAGCACCAATAGTTAATTCTTAAAGAAAACAATATGTGGTCTGTTGAAAATTAATACTGTTTAGTCATGAATATGTATGTATTTTAAATCCAGCTACTCTAAAGGTCTTAACTGTAATGTTGCAGCTCTTGGTGTCGACTATTTCAGCCAGTGACAATTCTGTATAAAACTAACATTTATTATTATCTTGCAAATCAATACATATATGCATTAAACCTAACACAGTCACAATTACATGTAGAGGCCGTCCATAAACTATGTACGCACGAAATACCAACTTTTTATACCCCCTCCCATACGCATGGCATATGCAGTGGTATCTACTACCTCACAAAAAATAAACACTGTATTCTGTTCAGTTCCAAAGATACAGTTCAAACTTTTTTGCCAAATTTTGACCTGAAATTGCTTGTAATTTGATGTATGATGACATGGTGATGTCACATATTCAGACTAAAGCCCAGGGAACACCTCTCAGTTCACCGAATCACCCCATCACTGGTACAGATTTTTCACCATTGTGGTTAGACGACCACGTTACCTGCACGCAATTCCATTCTATAATCGGTCACATGATGATCAGTCACACGATGACAATCGTGTGACTTCCTTTGTGAATCTGATTGGTTAACAAAAATATTTAGTCCTGTGAAATCAGATCCGGTGAAATCAGATGCAAAAAAAATCAAACATGTTTGATTTCGTCGGGTCACCCAGTATACGGTCAGATCAGTCCGAATTTTCAGCGCACATCTATATGGTGCCCGGAGTATCCGTTAAACTGGTAAAATCGGAAAGGTGTGTCCTTTGCCCTTGAACCGTTTGAAGACATTTAGTTTAGTCGGAAAAGGGGGGTATCGTGCACCCTCGGAAATCAATTTCTAATCAACGTCTCTAGGTCAGAGACATGTGACATGTGTTCCATCAACGAAGGATGTGTAGTTCTGTTTATAATAAATGGTGGCATATAAATGTAATAAATGTGATTCCATTCGCATAGGGCTTTGAATTATGACGTCACATGTCACGTGATGACGTCATGATGACGTCACATAAAGTTTCATCTATTACTATAATATTATGTTAAAGAACAACTTAGCCAGAGCAAACATCGTTGAAAGCAAGTTCACGTCTTTCACCAATTTTAAATTACAAAGCACTTCCGGTTTCAACCAGAAGAAAGGGTCACGTGATTTATTTGCACATATTTAAAAAATGAAGACCCTCGATAATTTTATCAATTCCTGCAAAAATCATGTTCAGGTCTCGACCACCTAATTTTTTCTACCTATTACACATCCCGGTCTAGCCACATACCAAGTTTCAACCCAATCAGACTTACAGTTCTGTAGATATAGGACTTCATAATATGCATGTAAATTTTCAAAAATCAATAAAAAAAATTAGGTGATGACGTCATCATGACGTCATAGTCTTGACATAATTTTTGTATGAGGGTCTTCCTTGGCTGTAACGTTGATGACGATTCTAGATCGCCAAGTTATAGAAATGGTGGCTTGAAAACGTGTACTAAGTCAATGGGCTAACACGTGTACAAAGTTAACGGGCTAAAAACAAAATCCCACTGCAGAAAAATTGCACCTTTAAATTTGTAATTTGCCTTTGAACTGAAACATTTTTATGAAATATTACTTGATATTCTGACCCTTAGGAATATGTTCAATCGAATGACAGCGCGAAAAAAAATACGATTTCTCTTTCCTTCTCATAGTAATTCTCGGCTGAAGTTCAGAACTACTCAGTAAGATATCAGTGTTGTATAGGTAAAGACTTGTGGGAAAATCCCAATGCAGAAAAACTGCACCTTTAAATACGTAACATAGGGCTTTTCGGCATTATGATTTTTTATTATACGTCCCTGACTATGCGCTTGCACGAACATAAAATCTGTCAAAGTTAGCCGAAAATCGGCTAAAACGGTCACTGTGATATGATGTGGACAGGATTTGACCTCGGCAACACGTGCTCTGCAGGCTGACTGTCATTACATGTACGATGTACATGTACAGTATGTGCGTAACGTACGTGTATGTACAAATAGACGTTCTGTGCATGTTTTAGAGCAGATGTATTGTCAACCTGAAGTTTTAAGTGTGCGCAGGGCATGTCCGAGTTCGCTTATTGCCTTGAAACTTTGAAATGTGTTAGACCTACCCTTAAATCGACAATTAAAGGGAAAATACAACATTTGCAAACATCAAAAAATAAAACTACCAAATCATTTTGAAATAACTTGCTGGGCTGTTAGTGAATGACAGTGTAAAGCACCCTGTAAAATCGTGGCACCTGGTATACTGTCATTTTCAAGAAAAGTGGTATTTTTGTATCAATTTCCAACGCTGATCGGCCGATCAGCGTTGGAAACAACTGGCTTTTTTTCAAATACTGGCCCCAATTGACCATCGCACTTGTTTGCAATCGATTACAAACCTATGAACGGGTACGAGCCAGCTAGACTGGTTCCCTGACCTTACAATTCCCCAATGTATGTAAACTGCTCTGTTTCTTCTTATATGGAGTCAGGGAACCAGACTACAGGAAAATGATCGTTTTTCTTGGTTTTTATTGCATTTTCGAACCCAAAACCTCAAAAAGTCAGTGTAACTATATTTGCTATATATTTCCAACCCCCCAATTCCATCCATTTCTGAAAATCACAGCAAAAGCAAATGATGTATATTCCCTTTAAAGTAAAAACTAACATAAAAACTGCCATGGTTGATTTTTCAGGAATTTTCAAATGAAAAAGGGTCTTTTTATTATAACTTCCGGTCTGATGACGTCATCCGCCTAAAACTTCGCACACGTCTTAAGTGGGTCAAGGTCATCATATACACTAATATTTAGGCGATTCCGACAAACTTCGCTACAGACATCTATTCAAAATACATTTTTGCAAATTTTCAACCTGACGCTAGAGGGCGCTCGAAGATTGCATGACGTCATTGGTAGATGATTTGAAGAATACTTTTAGCCAAGAGACTAACACCGTTAAAAGCAAGTTCATATCTATTACCATTTTCAAATAATAAGCCACTTCCGGTTTTGGCCTTTTTCGACCGGAAGCAAGGGTCACGTGATTTCACGCACACTGAATGAAATAAAGACCTCAACCTACTCTACCACTTGCCGGTAACAGAATGCTGCGGACGCGTACGGTTGATTTCTTATGCATTTTTAAATATTAAAAGTGTCACAATTTAATTGCCTATAAATACACACCGGATGACGTCATCATGACGTCATCATTACACAATGTTGTTTGAATTAGGGTCTTTGCTTGGACAAAGATTGGTGCAAATGAATTACTGGCAAAGAGTCAAAAATTCCCTTTGAAAATCGACAATTTTTTTTCGATTTCTGTGTACAAAGTCTATGGGAAAAATTAAATATTCAAAATTCTATAATAAATTAGTCGATGACGTCACGATGACGTCAATGTTCGGCACACAACTTCAGATGCTGGTCTAAGTGCGTGCAAAGTATAAAGTCAATCGGATTGATGTTAGTGCCCAAAGTGCCGGTGACAAAAAAACGTGTACAAATGCTATGGGCAAAATGACTGAAAAAGAAAAAAAAAAAAAAGAAAAAAAAAAAATCTTAACGAAAACAAAGGCTGTTTCGGCAAAAGTGCCGAAACAGCCAAAAAATCAGCAAATTGAACATAGCGTGGCAAATGAAGATGGGATTGGTATGCAGCTTTTGTAAACCCTTGCTTGAGGTTCACCGAAATTGTCCTGTTAGGACATAGGCTTTATGTACAATAGGGATCATAATGGTGTGACTCTACCTAAAAAGTTGGCCTAAAGCACCGGTTTCTCCCTCTTCTTTGACGGACACAAGTCTTGAACAAGCTGTGTTCATATATTTAGAAGGCATGTATTTCCGGTATCTAAGCGAAATCCTACCCTTTAAATTAATGGGCAAGGATACTTGCAACTTTCAACTTAAAATATATGTAATAATATGGCAAAGGTGCAAACTTAGTGATGATTATGACCAAATTTGTTATGATAAAAACATTTTTAAAAGCGTCATTGTCATCACTGTCATTGCCATCATCATCAAAACGTCAAATGGCTACCCAGAAATGAGCTTTTCCCTCTCCCCCACTTGTGCTCCCCAACCCAACTTTTTTGTTTTTAAAACTCATTGAGTGTACTTACATAAAATGAGGCCACCCCAAGTTCCCCCCCCCCCCCCGATGCAAAAACTCACAAATCGAAAAAAATGTATAAAGAGAATCACCACTCCAAAGTGACATACAGTCCTATCGTCTACAGTTGTATGAAGTGTGTGTTAAAACTTTTTTTTCACTACTATAAACTAATAAAATCATGACTGACTGAATACTGATTTTAAACCTGCCAAACTCCAACAGCAGTATGTAATACAAACATTGAACAAACATTGACTGCTTAATGTAGTGTAATAGAACTATAGCCTCCCTCGTACCAGTGATCCATGAAGTATTCTATTTTTCCCGAGGCGAAGCTGAGGGAAAATAGAATGCTCCATGGATCACCGAGGGAGGCTAGTTTTACTACACCACGAGATAAAGCAGTCAGTATTTGTTTTATAACACCTCTCCCACAGATTCTGCTTGATTTTAAGTGATAATTGATTAATTTAATCTAATACGATTAAAATGTACCAGTACTTCTGTTTGAATACAAAATTAGTTGAATATTTACTAGCACTTTTCCAAACTACCCCTTCCCAAACTGTTTGAATCCAGCTCTGTAGCGCAAGCAATTCGGAACAATACCAGTACATGCACAACGCAGTGTTTCCCCTGCCCATTCAAACTTGAGGCGGCCCACCTCGCTACTTTCAGTAACCACCTCACTCAATTATTACCAATATCACCACTCGCTGTGAAGATTTGCAATAAAGGAAATACTAATTGAAACACTTTCATTTTGCGGAATTGATGCGGCGACGCGGGGTTTTTTTTGGGGGGGGTGACTTTTTTTTTCCAAGCTTTTTATTTCAAGCTTGTATCTTGCGGAATTGATGCGGCGACGCGGGTTTTTTTTGGGGGGGTGGTTTTTTTTTTTTTTCAAGCTTTTTTTTTCAAGCTTGTATCTTTCTATAAATGTTGCTATTTATCTTGCTATAAATATAAATTTGTTCCCTTTTGCCACTGCATTACATCCAACATTTGAATTTTGCGCACATCATGCGTATGTTGCACGCTTTATCGCAAACTTGCTTGAAGACTTTAAACTGCACCCAAAAGGTTTCAGCGTTCTGCGATCATCAGCTGATAGCGTTCACCATCACGCGACTAGTACTAGTACACATAGTATGTAAAGAACCATATTAAGTCCAAAGTAAAAGTACTTGTAGGTATCTAAGCACCTTCACTTATCTGAAATATATGAAACTAATACTAGTCACTGACTAGACTCTAGTTTTACTCGAGTCTCAATTTTTGGTGATTCGACTCGAGTCCCTAATGACTCGACTCGACTCGAGTCACTGCGAGGAAATGACTTGACTCAACTCGAGTCCCTCATGAGAAGACTCGACTTGAGCAAAGGCTAAAAGGACTCGAGTCGCAAAAATAAAAGCAAAAAATGTTTGCAATGACTTAGCAAATTTATGTTCATGTCACTTTGCAAATACAGTGCGGTACAGCAACCGCTTGTTGATGTCGTGTACAAACATACGTGTCACAGACTCCCACCTTGTGGTTTTGGAACGCACAAAAATACTATCCCAGAGCCGACTTAAAACACATTTTCTAATTCCTGTTTTCAGCATTGGCTTTGGGTGATTTTTTATATAGCTCTTGGATTTGAACGCCGGCTAAATTTATGCCCTCCTTTTAAAAATTAAATAGATACATGCCAACTGTTTAAAAAATCCGAAACAGTTTTGTATTTAACGCAGTTTGGTTTTGATGTCAGCGGTCATGCAGCCAAAAAAATAGACCCGAAGCCAAACCAGACAGCCTATATAAGATCGAAGTTTCACTTCTTGTTCACTATTAGTGATACAAATGACTCCCATGTCTTTATTTGTTATATAGTGTGCAAATATTCGTGACTCGAATTGACTCGAGCTAAATATTTGACTCGCCTCGACTCGACTCAACCTTCTTGACCTAATGACTCGACAGTTGAGCCAATAAATGGGATGAGTTGAGACAGTTGAGCCATTTCTATTGGTAGAGAGCCCGTCACGTTGCCAGTTTTAAATGCATGATAAGTGTCACATCAAATTTGGACTCCTATGAAATCTGGTGCCATTTTTCATTTTATTTGTTGAATGTTCACAATCCTCATGTAGGCATGCGCAATGCATCCACCAAGTCAGCATTTCATATCGTAACACACTGGCACAGCTGCATTCTGTTCCACATCGTGCTGTACACGCGATGCGCGCGCCAATCTTCACATAAGGAGTTGTTTACCACTACTCGTGAGACTGGGGGGTATCCCAAAAAACATGAAGCAACATTGTTGACCAAAATTGTTGGAAATTTATATATTTTGACCAGTTGGAGTCTGGATGTTGATAATTGCGAGTCCAACATTACATATTCCTGTGATTGTGTTTTAATCTTAATTACCCTCGCATTCTGTTCGGGTAATTATCAGCATCCAGACTCAAATCGGTCTTAAACAGAGTGTTTTAAACTGGCCAGGCAAACATTTATTCCCTTGTTAATGAATTTTTCATGTCCATGTCCTTTCAGTGGAACTTCCTACCGAACCCCCTACTGTACCTTCAACTGTGCCTCCTACTGTGCCAGCAACTGACCCACCAACTGACCCACCAATTGACCCACCAACCATCCCCCTGACAGCTCCCCAAACCGATGCTCCACAGCCACAGACCTTGCCTCCAGTTGGCCCTACTATTGGTCAGCCCACAGACTCTCCGGATTCATGGACGACTCCCAGTCCAGATGCTATAATGAGTACCGATGTGCTGGCCATTGATAGCACCTCGGAACCACCAACTAGTACAATTGATGACCAAGGTATTAACCTTATGTTAGTCCCTCTATAGTTTCTTTTCCTTTCAGATCACATTCAGCCAGTACTAAATTCTACACTATTGAGCTACTTGGAGGGTCTAGTAGCTATGCTGAGTGGCATGTTTTACATTTGGCATGTTTGGTGAACATACTATCAGGCATGACAAGCAGGCATTACAAGAACACTCAATGTTCATTACTAACTAACTTTTTTGACCACACAAACTATGTCATTGCTCGATTTGTGCATTTGTCTGATACAGATACGGTCATGATGTGTCCTGCTTATCAGGGGGCTCCTCTGGAAAACAGAACGGGTAGCGAAACAATGACTGACATTCTTCTCATCAACACTGGCAATCCCTTCAACTGCAGTGGTTTCTTGACCAACATTAGTTATTTTTCTGCTGGCGACCATGCATTGGAAGTCAGTATATGGCAACCTAATCACAATGGAGACACAGATGAGTGGCTGTACAGCTTATCTGCCACGGCCGCTCTAGAAGGAGCACACCCGGGGATTGCATCAGTTTCACTCAACAGGGATGACTGGCTTCCTTTTGGTCCTGGGGATGTGATGGGAATCCGCTTTCAGACCTCACCACTGATGTTCAGCGATGTAATCTCATCAGATGAGGAAGCCACACTTTGGATGAGATGGAATCTTGAAGATGGAAGTGTAGCTGGCTCCATCATGGAGAAGAGGGACACGGTCAATGCCACTGCTCTCAACCGTACTTACTCCATCTCTGCAACCTTGAGAGGTACCTTACTTAAAATCACCATAAGAAATAGTATGCGTGCGGGATATGTATGCCAATCAGAAAATAGTGTACGTTAAATCACCATTTTGCATGCGTATGTTACCTCATGCTGTCACACCTCATCTGGCACATCTACCTCATCTGGCACACTTTGGGCAATGTGCATTGCACATGAAAATGTTAACATACTGTATGTATGTGGGTTTCGTGAAATAACCTCACAAAATGGTGATTTAAAAAGTTTTTCTGAGCCCTATACGTATTCCATAAACATACTATTTCTAATGGCCCTATTATAAGGGGTTTGAACCTACAAATGGACTCATACTGGAACACATAGGGTGGTACATTACTGCCTGGTGTTGTTGAGTTGACAGCATGATGTAACAATTTCATATGCTGCTAAGCAACAGACGTTGCTCAGCACAGGAAATACTAAATAAAAAAAACAGGAGACCAAGCAAAATGCCATGCAGTGTATATGACTAATAATTTGTGACTGTTGCTCAACTGATTATGGCTGAGCAGATTAATTTGCTTACTGATGTTTTTGGATCAGTAGCCCCATGGAATTTGGCACACCCACACATACCTTCCATACCTCATGTGGACATTCCTTTGTATTCATGCAGTTAATAAAAAAAACAGAGAAAAACAATTTTAGGTGCACTGTGAACACATTTTCAACCCAAACTTTTGATCATGGTTTTGCACACTGTTCCTCTTCAGTTTCCTAACCCCCAAAATGCCTCTAAAAAGGCTTTTTCACAGAGGGGGAAACGTTGTGTGGACGTGAGTAAGTCCACAAAACGTTCACACTTCCTGCACCCTGTGGACCTCTATTGTTACGAGGTCCACAGAGTGTGCAGTGTTAGAGCACCCATGCACTCAAATCCGTTCCTAGATGCACAACACAAATCTCCAACTTATAGAAACTTCATAAGGAAAAATTACGTTTCACGTAAGAATCCGCTCCTAATGATTAAAACCTTCGAAAGATCCAATAAAATTGTCATCGAAACATCATAGAAATTCATGTACACATAGCAATCCACTCTAGACTGCACCAACTGTGCACAAGTACTGCACATGGTTACACTATGCATGCCATGCATCATGGGCTACACAAAGCCTAGTGCATTTCATCATAGTGTTTCCTTAAATCATCTCACAAAAACCACTACTTAGACTTCTTAAACTTCTCCAGAACTATCATCACACCAGTCGATAATCATAAGCAGATAAAATAAGGGAGTCTACAATGAACAACATCGTATGTCATAATTTTTTTTAAATGAAACCGATGAAAATTATTTGAAAAATTACGATGGAAATAGCTGTAAAAATTAGCCAAGCACTTGCTTTCTAAAGGTTCAATTTTCAAAGTCTCGCTTCTCACTGACGCAACATTGATGTTGCATTTTAACAGTGTGCTCTCTGCTGAACAACACTTTTGATCACTCTGCAACTTTCTACAGCACATGTATGTCCTATCAGTCTATGACATGGCACAAACATGCATTCAAAACATCCATATGTTTGTCCACAAACATAAATCTAGTTTTCACTGACTTTGCACACAAATCACATCATCTCTATGGGTAGGCCCGCCGAATGGCCCCAACGCACGGCCTAGACAACGCTGATTCTCGGGGTCGTGGGCTGTTTCAAAGTACTGTAGTTTCCGTTTTAGGTGTCATAAATGGCTAAAACTTGTGTATAATAAACATTTTCATACCTTTTGTCTTGTGTGCAAATTTTATTTCGTAAAGACTACAGATAACTTCCTGACGGCGAGTTGAATATGGGACTGCAGCACGCGGCGCGATGCCAACCTGGAACTTGTTCCCATCATTTTTCTCTGAGGGCTACATTAAAATGCCATTTTTACCCAGATAACCCCATCGTAGATTGATTAATCAGGTACCAACTTAGAGAGGAAGACGTCATCTTTTCAGTGACGTATGCGCGTTAGTCATTTTTTGAAAGGGGGGAGGTTTTATAACCTACCAAAAAAGTCTTTCCCCAAAACAAGCAGCAATGTCACATAATTCCAGAACGCGCATACGGAATATACAAAATGGGGATATGAAGTCACTATTAAATATGGTTTAATTTTGCCAATAAGTGTCATTAATCCATGTAAAAATCGTCTCCAAAGTTGCCCCTCCCGAGGAAAAAAAATGCCTCTGCACCCGTGTTGCAAGTGCACACAGACCGGGTCAGCGCGCCTGCACACATGCCTGCAAAACACGAGGTCGGCTGGCTGACCACACACGGTTGGCATGGAGTGATTGTGTGTGCATGTGCATATTATGTGTACATGTACTGTATGGGGCTATGCACGTGCAAACGTCGCATAGTGTCAACACTGTTTATCTTTATTGACTTGAATTGCGTCGTTTCATGTATTTTTTTTGTAAGTTTCATTTCTTTTCTCGACCAAATTCATACATTTTCATGGTTCAGGGGCAATTAAATGACATTAATAAATACCTTGGAGAGTTGATGGTTTCTGATTGGTCGAGACTCGATCACGTGGCCGGTCATTAACGGTGATAATGGACCGGCTTCAAAGATCAAGCGAATAAATGGCCCCTGAACCAGCATTGATCAAGCCCCGTTCAGCCCCATGCAAGCCAGTGATTGGTCAAAATATAGTAACAGGCCTGCGGTAGCTTTTAACAATTGAGCACTGCACATGCGCTCAACCCCCATCGCGTGAGACTGACGCGCGCGTACGCAGCACAGTTGCTAGGGATGCGTGCGTACCCGCGTGCGCGCGCGTAAGGAAATTTTGAAATGACATCGTACATTGTTTGTCGTACACCAGTGCAGTATATACTGAGGATGTTTACGACGAAAGCGTAGATCTACGATTTATTTTCTTTGAAACACTTCACCCACCGACATATTTACCTTCCCTAAACCAAGCATCTTTGTAATTCCGGACACAAGGAATGTGTAAACGAGATCTCAGCTTCCTCCATCAGGTAAAGATACGAAAACATTGTTGTAATTTGTTTCGATACGGCAGCAGTTTCTGTTGAGTTTACGTCGTTATACTGTTAAGCTAAAATATGGCCCATGAACATGAACACAAATAAAGTCTGGAAATATCCGGAAAAAAGTCACAAAATTGGAGCATTTTAACTGTTTATTTCGTTATATAGGTATTTATTAATGGGAATAACAGTGTGGGGAGCCGGTCTTCACTGCGTGATAATGACCGGGTGTGGGGGTGACCGCTGTTAATGGACCTCGACTTCGTCTCGGTCCATTAACAGCGGTCACCCCCACACCCGGTCATTATCACGCAGTGAAGACCGGCTCCCCACACTGTTATTCCCTTAAGAATACAGCAGTATAAATGCACATATATCATGTTCAATATCGTAATGAAAGTCGAGCTCTCCGCGCTGCTGTGCATGGATCGTAGCACCGCACCTCGCTGCATGGAGACTAGGTATGGGATCAAGGGCAACGACAGTCTTTCAAGATCGTTTTTGTTTTTAGTGAAATCTAAAATGAGTTTCTAATTATTTAATAAATCATAAAAACAATTACTACTTGCAATTAATGGATAACAAGCTGATTTTGCTTTCAAATTGGTCAGTTGGTTGTGTGCAAAATGCTTTTGTTGATGAATTAGCTAGAAGTAATTAATTTGCATATAGTCGCACACACTTACTCAGTGTAATGCCAAGAGTACATTGCTGCATATGTTCACATAAAAACACTGCCCAAATTTGGTGGATTAAAACAACTGTCTCTTCAAGTTATGGCAGTTTTGAATATTAATTAGGGCATTAAAGTTTATTTGCATACATTTACATACATAAATAGTACAATATAAGCCAGTTTCAAATAAATATTAGTGGTGGAGTTGTTTATCACTTGAGGAACACACCAGCCAAATTTCAGGCCTGGATCTCATACATATCTCAAGTTATGGCAATTTTGCATATCATTAAGGTCAAATTTGCATAATTTGGACTCAAAATTTAAGATTTTCCCTAAAATGCTGATTTTCCCTTAAACTCTGATTTTGTGGTCCTGTATCTCACGAAATGTGTCACCAGTGCCTGTGAAACTTCGTAGATGACAAAACCCTGTAGAACCTTTCAGTTCTGCGAAAATAGAATAAAGAATGCATTAATTTCTAAAGTTATTGTCCAGTAAAAATGGCATAATTTCAGAAAAATGACTTTAAAGTGAGTTTTTAATATACTTTTTTGTACAAAAATGAACAATGGTGGGATTTTGACGCGCTATTTTTAAAAAACAGGAATTTTCTGTTGGTGTTTTACTCTCAAAATTGCATGTTCATCCTTCATAGATTGTACAAAGGTACTTTAACACCTTCAAGTTGCTATAATTTTGAATATATAGCGTCACAAAAGTCGTAATTAATTACTTTTCATAAAAATCAATTATTTTATCAAAAAATAGTCAATATTTGGCACTTTTTTTTTAATCGTAACTCAAAAACGGCTAATTGAAATCCTATAAAGTTATACATTTTTGAAAAGCACTCAATGAGATCTATCCAACTGTAGCTGTTTCAAGACCCTTTTACCATTGCTGAAAATTGGTTGTCGGGCCTACTATGAGAAGACTGATTCCCAGTCCCAATGGTATCAACTGTAACAGAGGGCGGGAACCAGTCCATCCTGTGAGAACTCCATTAATTGTCGGGCCACAAATAAATAACAATTTGTGAGGTAATTTTTCTGTAACTTAATGGCGGCCAATTTGTTTGGGGTTGATGTCTCTTTCAAAGTGACAACTTTTGTTGCTGCTTGAAAAATAGCAATTAAAAACAAAATCTAATTTTTAGGTGAAATTTAGACACTACATCTAAAGTCAAAAAGTTCACAAGATTGTGCTTAATTGAAAAACTGAAATCCCTGACACTTTCTCTATTTCACTCCCTCATACAGTCCTAGCACCAACGTTCAGTTCCACAACAGTTAAAGTTAAAAGCTTTTGATTATTAGTTGGTCACTGCCATTTTTTCACCTTTTACTTGTAGAGTTAACTCTCGTTTTTAATTGCAAGATGAAACTTGACTTATAGGTTCCAATACTAATGATCTAGTCTGAATACTGAAGATAAGGTGACTTTCTTTCAGACAAAGCTCACTGTTTGGTCCCTAATGTTCCCAACGTTGCTTCCACCGATGCCATTGTACCTTACGTGTACGAGGGAGACGACTACTTACTAGATTGCAGAGCGGGCTACCGACCAGTTGGAGGGCGAGTTTACATGTGTCAATCTACTGGGAGATTTGATAGAAACTTGGAATGCCAAGGTACAGTTGAAAGGCCTGTTTCTAAAATTTTGTATTGGTACACTTCGAAAGATTGTGACATTTATTCAGCCCATTTAAATTTCATTCAAACCACATAAACTAACAGGTGGAAAATCAAAAATGAATGAATTTCACTTGTCCTTAAAGAACACTATTATTTTAAGTTGTTTTAACTATGCATAAACATCAGGCTTAATTATTTTGTAGCAATTCCTACCAATTAAGTAGGGCCAAATAGATATTAAAACTTTGCTTAGAATGCATTAAACATTTGTAGCTGGAATGAAGCAATGGTATCCGTCACTACGACTGCGACTTTGATTTTAAAAACAAACGTATATATCTGAAGCATTCCTCAAACAGAGTCGTGTTGACTTTTTTTACTTTAACATTGTCTTACCTGCAGTTTATACTTTTCCTTATTTGAATAGACGATGGAAGTTCCCCATTACCAATCTTCACCGTGGTGATCCTGTGTAAGTTAGCTAAGTTATAATCTAAGCAATTGCACGCTTGCTGTAAAGACTGAGCATAATCTAAAGTTCCATAACTTTAGAAGTAGAATCTCCAGTGCAGGGAGACACTAAGCAAGTATGCAGTTAGTCAAAATTCATAACTAGAAAGGTTGAAACTCCATACTATCAGCCCTACAACAGATGTAGACTGCCCTGGTAATGTCATTTTATTTCATAGACTTGGGTGAATTTTGGTTGTGATTTAAATCAGGAACAATTTAGATTGACATTTGACAAGGTCACATGCTCTTCAGAACTGCAGGATATGTAAGGTGCAAACCACCAAAAAGCTGTAAATTCCTGCATGCAAGCTCTTTAATATTTTGTGATCCCACAGGTAAGTTTGAATAAGAGTTCCTTGCGGCCTACACTTGGGACAGATTGTATACATATTTCTGAAGATCAAGAAATTTCATGACTATAGGTTAATAGGTTTTAGAATTAAGGCTAATTAATTATTCATGACAATTTTTCACTACGCGGCAACCCGTGGTCCAATTTTTATGTTTTTGGTATCAAAAGATGCGCAAAGCTCGAGGCTAAAAAGTCAGAACAGCTCAGGTTGCGAAAAAAATTTTTTAGAGGCCATCGCGGAAAATGTTGAAGGGGGGCGGATTCCACCCCCCCCCCCCCCCCCCCCCGGCCCTATAGGGTTAACAAAAAGCCCAAACTTGTGGGCCTATTTCCCATAAAGGTGGGGGGCTACATTTAGGCCTCGACCAAGAGATTGACAACTGGTTAAGGGGTGGTTTGGGGGGGGGATGTAAAAAAAAATGATACGGCTATCTCTGTTAATATTCAAAAGAAAATTGTCCTAGAGGTCGTAATCTTTCATTTCCAGTGAAAAAAAAACCTGCTCCTGAGCGCTTTTTCTGGTGCTTTTTCTGTCTGATTCTGTGTTATTTTCTGTGAGCCACATTTGGTGGAGTGAAACCAGAAGCCTATAGTCACAACAAGTCTGATGATATTTTTCTTTCGTGCAGTACCTGATGCTTAAATTGGGTTGGCCTTTCACAATTTAAATGACCATTGAACTTTGACCTTTTTTAAAGGTGTTGTTGTCTTGGTATTGATCTGTCTGACTGTGTTTGTCATCACCTGCATGATGATGTGTTGCAGTTCTGGGGCCAAGCGCTCTGGGGAATCTGCACCTGCCAATGTGAAGACGGAGGCTGACACCAGGTTTGTCGGAATGGTTTCTACTAATATTCAATTTATAGGCTTTGACCCAGCTCAGGAAGTTGGGAAGGTACACTGTTCCCCTCCCCTCCACCACCCCATCATCAACAAAAACAGGAACGATCCTATACAAAACATAAAATGTTGAAAATACACAAAAAATAACAACGTATGGAAAAATTGGTAAGTACACAAAGAATCACAGAGTGTGTTGGTATGTGTGCAGGTTGTGGAAGAGTTGAAATGATGTACGAGAAGTGATCCTTTTTCTTGGGCCCCTCCCCTTTGTTTTTAATACGTGGCTGAACAGAGTAGGCATAAAGGTACAGCTAGGCTATTGGTACTCAATACATGGGACTTGATTCCATAACAATTAACTGGTAATTTTGGTGGATTCAGAAAGGGTTTTTGAAAATTACCTATTGAGTTAATGGTATTTTCATAAATCAGACCTAACATTCACCCAAAATTGCTGATTGCTAGGTCATCATGTAAATGCCGCTTGCCACAATAATGGCCTGAAGAGATGGAACATTGATGCTTGCAACTTGGGTTGGTTCATATGCTAGATGTGTGCTGGTATGGTGTTAGCTGTTGTTTTAACAAAAGATTTATCTATTTTACATGTATATACCATCATCTAAAATATTGACTGACTTTGAGAAATTGTAATATTTTGTTAAAACAATTTGTATCTGTTGGCAGCTCCAAGTCTATAGACCAGCCAGATGCTGGCATGGGTGATACCAATAGCATGGATGACAACCAATTCCTCATCAACATTGACTCAGAAAATGGCGAGCCAGATGAAGTTGCCAACCCTGTGGCAGAACAGGGTTTGGAAGTGCCAGCGCCTGAGGAGACTTCACCCCTACCGGACTCAGATGCCCACGGCATGGAGAATGGCATTGCTAACCCAGAGGCCAATGTGGAGGGCACCCCAGTCATGGAGAACCCTGTTCATGATTCTGATGTAAGTGTCTACCGTCCGTTTGTCTACTCAACTCCCACGGGGGGACTGCTGGCTGAATACCCTCCCCGTACTCCTCCCCCTGCTCCCCCTGTGGCCCCTCCCCCACCTCCAGTTGGAGGTACTAACACTGAAATCACCCCTAGCAACCCAGTGCCCCTTGCACCAGTGCCACCTCCACTCTACCTTCAACCTACCATCCCAGTAGCGCGTTCTGATCAGCCCCCACCGGATAGTCCAGATACTGGGTCCAATGCCGCCCTCATTAGCGAGGATCAGTCAGATACTTTATCTAATCCCAGCCAGGGAGGGTACTCTTCGAGGCGTATTGGCCAGAGCATTTCCTCACGGCTCAGCGTCTTTGAAAACTAAATGCTTCATTTATTATTTGATGAAATGCAAATGCAGCAGCCATCTTGAATTTATGATGCCATTTTAGGCAAACAATTTCCAAAATAAGTTGCTCAACCTTTTCAAATCAGCAATTAGGCCAAAAAAAAAAAAGTCTCCGGTTTCTGGTATGGAGCTTGCCCAAAAAGTGGTGCGGCGACGCGGCTTTTTTTTTTTTTTAAGCTGATTTTTTTGCTTCAAATGTCGGCTGATGACTGCAAATGGTGCCCGACTAAACTTAGTGCAAATATATGGGAGTCCAGAGAGGCCACATAAAGCTTATTCTCGACCATAACCCAATCTAAAACACGTTAAAATTGTGCAGCAGCAGGATTCCAGTCAAACCAGTGAGTTTGGCGGTTTTAAGACATCATCTTTAATTGAAAAAAAAAACTTTTTCATTTTGCCGACGCGCATGGCTACGGCGACGCGCGCGCATACCAGAAACCGGAGACTTTTTTTTTTTTGGCCTTAAAGTCCCTTTTTCTGCGATTTTGTGGGTATTTTTCGCCAAAACCCTTTCTTTTCGCGAGTGGCTGTTTATTTTAACGTCCGTGGAAAGGAAATAGCTGTAGTTATTGTCTAACATTTACCATGATAAAGGTTATGAACAGCACCCCCATAGGAAGATGGTGTCGCGCGCCCCCCCCCCCCCCATTGTAACCTCAAGCCACTCCCACACACCCCCCTAGGGTGAGAACCTGGCTACGCTGCTGCATTGTAATATGTTATGTAACAAATCATTTAACCTGGAATCGTCTGTGGATGTATTTCATTGTGTTGTCTCTTAAGGCCAGTGGCGGCGCTACGGACAGGGGGGGGGAGGGGGGGCATTTGTTTCCTTGCCCCCTACCCCAGTTTCCCCCCCCCAATTTTCCCTCAATACTTTATCTACAAATACAGTCATTTTGTTTATTTTCTTCCCTGTTTTCGTAACAAGTTGAAGATAGAGAGGTTGTGTGGACACATTTTGGGCCAATGAAAGCATTATAAACATTATTAAACATGCCACATGCATAAACACAGCCGTAGATAGTGTGCAGCCAACGTCTTTGTTGTACATTTGTTATGTACACCATTCTGCATTTTGATACCATTTCTCATTCATAAAAATGACTACACTTCTAAGTTGCAGCTCTAGTGGCTTTTTTCGGGACCATTGACAATGGGCATGCGCATGCATACACAGGCTTTTAGGTTGCCATTTTATTGGGCTCTTCCTTACTTTTCCATTAGATTTTGGATATCATCAGATTTTATTTTGACTGCTCCCAAAAATATTTCCTTGCCCCCCAATTTCCCCCCAAATTTTAGAGTCTGGCGCCGCCACTGCTTAAGGGCTGCATTTTTTCTAATAAAGGTGTCATGTTGAAACAGTACTCACTTGCATAAACATTAAATAGTGCAAATTAACTGGAAACAGTTGCATGATATGTTTCATTTTTGCTAATCTTTCCCTTTTCTGTCAGTCACTTTTTATGCAGCTCATTATCTCCTTGACCAGAAATGGTTAATTGGATTGGGACCAGAAATGGTTAATTGGATTGAAAATTTCAATCTTGTTCAAATTGATCATGTGCGTTTTTTTATACTAAATGACAAATTGACTCGGCATAAGATGCGACTTGGCAAACTTATTATTGTTTTGTTTTGTTGTTCTTAATATTTTTGGGGGGAAATTTAAGAAATTAATGATTGGACAATGTCTAACATTTCCTTTGATAACTTCAAAGGTCTAAATTTAACAACTGCCTGTGAACATCTGAAGAAATGCTTTACATGTTCTGGTGAGTTGTGGTGATATTCCTGGCTTAAAAGGTAATGGACCATTTCATCAGCTTGGTAAAGGCTTTTATCATTAATCCTGTAAAATCAGTCACCTTTCATGTACATTGCTATCACCCATAACCTTGAATGATTCATGTAGTTATAGCAACAATATCTTTTGATAATCAGCAACTAAAAAAAATAATCAACCTGTCTTAATTTGGTGGTTTGTCTTGTGCCTCTTTAGTTTTGGTTGAGAGTTACTTCTTTGTCCCATACTCATGGATCCCGATCCTTGCCTGCTCCCAATCACTTCAAGTTTTTCAGACATCGTTTTAAACAAAATCTGTTGTAATTAATGCCCAGTTTTAATTTACTCATTATATGCTGCTGTACTACTCACACTACAATTGATTACAAATGAAAATATGACTGATATATATAGTGTAAATTAATTGTAAATAATGCGTGGACATATATTTTTACTAAAATCATTTAAGGCAATTGTAATGTTATATTTATAGGTTGTACGCTATGAGAAACACCAATAGTAGTGTACAATCTAAAGTTTATCGCAGAATACATTTTAAAGTTGTATTCTTTTGAAGACATTTGTTATTGTTGGTTTTGTTTTGTTTTTTTGCTATTCGCATACTCAGTGCTGTACCCAATATCAAATCTTCCTGACACAAAATCCAACTGACAAAAACAGACTGTGATTGTCTTACCTTAGGATGTGTTGGAGTAAAGGAGAGATGTATTCACAACATCCTATGAAGTTGAAGGTGTGTCGCATGACCTGATGATGGATGAGTATGCCAATGTAAAACCGTGTCTAAGCACAAGTTATTATATGGGATACTGTTACAAGTTTCCCAACATTGTTAGTACATTATCTTTAAAACTGTGGTGGTGGTCATTTAAGTATTCATCAAAAGGAAATTCATATACACTCAAGACAGTTTACCCATTCCTACTGGTCAAGAGCCTGTCACATAGGTGGTTTTAAATGGTTGATAAAACACCAACTGGTTTTATACACTTTTCCCCGGCACTGCTTTGTTCTGCGCCACATTGTGCAGTATGCACCACGCGTGTGCGAATCTCCATGGACTTATTCACGAGAAAGCCATTTTGGTCGGGTTCCCTGAATGTATTTTATTAACCCTAACTTCCTAGGGGGTGTGCAAAATTGTTGCATGGGAGGATGCCAGATTATTTATACATTCTAGCCTCACTTTCATTTTTTGTGACTTAAACATTAGGGTATATTTAATCACAAATTGTACATTATTCATTAGAGCAGACTGGTATAATGCGTCATTAACTTTGTCATTACTTTCATTTCTCTTCGCAAGTTCTAAAAATGAAGATTTTACCTCACTTTACATTCAATATGGCCGACTTGTGAATAAGGCCCATATAAAGAAATTTTTAGTACTACTCACGTGAGGCACATACCATAAAGCTGGAGGGGTGTTTCACAAAACATGAAGTAAACTTGTTAAAGAAAATCGTTGGAAATTTATAATTTGTGACTTGTTTTGATTTTTTGACCGAAAGGTACAGGAATAAATATGTGCTTTGCCGGCATTAAACAAGTACTTTCAAAACCCGGTAGGAGCTTGTTCACAGATTATCCACGTACTTGTTTAAAACCGGCCATCACAAATGTATTCCCCTTTTAATATACTGGGTGTTTTAAAAAAAAAAAGATAATCCTAATTTAAAGGGTTAATACGGCCAGAATATATGTTTACCAGCAGAAAGTAAAAGCTACATGCTTTTCAATGATACCTTGGTTACTTTCCAGGGTCATGCATTATTGAGCTCCATTTTCTTGAAAACATGGTGCAAAATTGGGGTTGGTTCACTTTCTTGTCAAACAATATCGACACAGTGTGCTGGAAGACATTCAAGATGAAAGAGCACAACCACTTACAAAATTGAAGAAGACTCAGGTTCTTGTATAATCTTGAATTTTATTCATGAGTACTAGTTCAACTTTCCACTTGCAACACCAGGAAAATGTAATCTTCAGTTTATCTGTGGTGGGCTCAAGATGGCACACCAGCCCACCATTTCCTTGCTGTTCGAAATCGCCTGTGGGAATGCTTTCACAAACGAGACTTTGCCACCCCGGTAGTCCCCAGGCCACCAGACCTCATGCCATGTGACTTTTTTGGGGGGGTCATTTGAAGAACAAAGTGTTCAGCACCCTACTGCGCAACATGCAGGATTTGCGTAACTGGCTTTGGTGCGAAGTGGATATTTTGTGAGAAGATCCAGATACCGTGAGCTGTGGACAACATGCGGCGTCGATGTCAACTGTGTTTGGAGAGGGGAGACCAGGAGAGTGCCTTGGCAAGTGAGGGAAAATCAGAAACTTATGCTTAAAAATGTTTCACTCATTAATAAAATTGACCTATCGCTGTTTACCAACCCCCTTAGACAACCCTATGGAATTCTTGTTCGTAAGTTTTTTTGTCTCAAATTTTGCGCGTTCCGCATCCATTGGTAATTGGACAATATTTCACAAGCTGCGTTGATGCGATTCTACCGCTAAAGGTTAATTAACCCTAAAGGGCCGGGTTATTTTTACCATCTTTTAGGGGGGGGGGAAGACGGACTCCCCCCCCCCCCCCCCCGTCATCGTCCCCCCCCCCCCCCGACCCTTTTAGAGTGAAACGAATCAACAAGTACCTGAGTCTTGCATTTTTTAATGCTCTTGTCAGAACATCTCGAAAGTCCTCCAGCACACTGTGCTGATTTTGTTCGACATGAAAGTGAACCAACCCCAATTTTGCACCACATTTTCAAGATACTGGTGCTCAATGATACGTGACCCCTGAAGGTCAACTGAGATATTGAAAAGCATGTAGCTTCTGCTTTAAGATGACACCACGCTTTTTGCTAGTAAAGATATAGTCTGGCCATATTAACCCTGTATAAAAAGTAGGAGTACCTTTTTTTTTAAACACCCTGTATAAACGGAACCCATATCGTTCAAGTTGGTGTTTTGGGGTGTGTTTTTTTAAATACGGCAAATTCAATAGTACATGTATTCATGTACTGGTTTGCTCTATGTTGAAGAAAGGAATATGGACATGAAACTTGTGACATGCGGTCAACCCCTCATCAATGCCTCCTGCCATAACAAAAGGGGGATGGAAACGTTTTTGTGGAAGTTGAGAGCAAATATTGAATGTGGATGTCGTTACACTTCTTGAACATTCTTGTCCTGGTTTTTGTTTTGTCATTTTAGTGGAAGAGATCTGTTTAATGTTATGTTTTAGCATTTTTCCGCTTGATTACATCATATGTAAATCAACACCACTGTGATTTTTCCTGATTTTATTTTTTGCAAGTATATTTGTACCAATACTATGATTCAATGCATATAGTGATAGTTACTGTGTTTTGTTAAGGTAAGTAAGTCAAAAAAAATGTGTAGATTGTTATAGAAACAGTTACCTAATTCAGTTACTCCCCTGAAACCATTTGTTATGTGTGTAAAGGGTTTATTATCATTTGCTGCTTGCGTTTGTATATCCTCAGCTGCACATTTTAAGGTTGTAAACTGTTAAGTTTTAAACTGTGAATGTTTTTTTTAATTGTCAGATTTGGGGCATTAAAAAGAAATGAGATAGTAGTTTGGGTGGATGTTAACCACGTTAGCGTATATAACCTGTATTGGTATTAAAGTTATAATATTATGAGAGTGTAATTTGTTTATTTTGTGGTTGAAATCTTGAATCTTCTTTATTAGTTTCGATCAACATTTTGTAGCAGAAACCAGCATTATTAACATAATTATGAGATGTCAATTTGATTTTGATTACTGGATTTTAAAGCAAAAAGCGATTTTGACTAGTAATGTTTTTAATTTTTTTAAATTTTTGTGGCGACCGGCCCTTCATTTTGTCTGAGCAATCTGAAATATAAAAAAAATTTCTACAATAGACAAAATGGCTCCTAAGTCAAAAAGTTATACTAATGGGCTGTTGTATTTGAGAGTTCCCAACTTTAGCCTAAAAATTAATAGTACAAGCCATAATGGGTTTTTTTAATAGAAGAGTACATTAAGTTAACGTATTGAGCCTTGGTGTTACATTGAAGTTTATTAAACAATGGTTGGTGACTTGAAAGCAAGGGATGCATTTAGTTATATCTCATAGCATGTGTACAAAGAATGTATTTGTTTTGTAGACTTTAATCAAGTTCCTGTACAGAGGGAGCAAAATGTATCCTGTGGCGGATTGACGCACTATTGGGACATTGGATGTAGATGACCACTCTTCCCAGTGTTGTGTCCTTGGGCAAGCTACTTCATCCCCACTTGCCTCTCTCCACCCAGGAGTATAAATGGGTGCCAGCATTAGCTGGAAAGTAACTTGAGATGCACTAACATCCCGTCCAGGGGGAATAGAAGTATTCTCAGTCTTTTCATACTACTAAAACCGGGGATAAAGGGCGGCCTGATGGGCCACATTAGTTCCACTCATGACAAACTTTACTTACTTTACTTTCCAGCATCTCCATAAAGCCAGATACTGCTTGCTAGAGGCTTTTGCTGATATGAGAGGTAAGAGGTTGATGCGAGTTGGGTCATGGGAGGGAGGTAGCCAGATTATGCCAAGTTTCTGTTGAGATAAATTTAAAAAAACCAAAAAAAACAATGAAGTACCATTCAAAAGACAAAAACCATCATTTGTTGCATCAAAATCTGTCAGCAATTTGCTGAGAAATGAGAGATAGCTTAACAAAGTTTCTTATAAAAAGAAACAGAAATAGTGAGGATGTTAATTGAAAGAATGGTGCATTTTTCTGACTAAAAGCATGAAGCTGTTAGGGATTCATGCCACGAAGCCAATTTCAGATGTGGAGGCATTTAATATCTGACCCCTGGTGATTTTGAGAGGTCGATGAGGCCAAAAAAAACCATAGTTCTGCTTCCGATTACATGGCATTCGATAATAGGGTAGGTAGGTAGGGAAATTATTTTTTTTGCCAATTTTTTTGTGTACAATCATATGGAGGCGTCTGCTTGTAGTCAAAGGCAAAAGGTAGAAAGTGATGGTTTTGGGTAATTTTTCCTCATTTTTCCAATAAAAAAATTAGGATGGGGCTGTCAGAATAGGGTAGGTAGGAAAACCGGCGTGAGTTACGAAAACACGATTTTTGAAATCAAACTGTTACGATCTTATCGAGACAACATGCAGTATCATATTTCATATTAATATGAGCAAATTGGAAAGAAAATTAGTATTTTCGAGAAGGCGTGGACGAATGATCGCGAAAACACGTGCTGCACGTTGTGAATATATAGCACCAAGTACACGATAAAAATCCATTACTAGCCAATTGCGGTATCCAATCAGGATACAGGAAGAAAGTTTCCTATCCAGGGTTTACTATTGGAAACACGGTTGGAAATAAAGTAAGCACTGGGGACGAGGTTGGGGAAGTACAGGCTCTTCAAGTTTAGATGGAATAATACCGTTTTTATTTCTCAGTGGCCGCATGGCAGCAAAGCGCAGCCAGCGCTGTAAATCTTTCTTTAAATCACAAGACTTTTACAACATTGTGCTGCAGTTGTGCTTAAACCTCCACACTCCCGCCATCTCTCCATCGACGTTCTGGGCTAGGTTGCTGTCCCAACAATGGGGGCAGGATGACGCAAGCTGCATCACATGGCGATGTCTGGGCCCTGAACTACTTCTCAGGTAGACCCAAGCTACATGGCTGCAAAAGCTGAATCCCTTGACAGGCTCAGTGGTTCAGCTTCAATGCACCCTCCATGTAGATGGTTCCAGACATCAACGCCCATCCCCACTGCCTATCGTCCTCCATCCAGGTTATTCTGCTGCACCTCCTGCTGTGATCATTCCACTCTTCCACCTCCAGCACTTGGTTTCTCTCTCAGTGGACCTCATACTTCAAAGTGTCCACTTCTGGGACTCTCTTACCTGTTAAACCTTACATTTGCATATTTCTCTAGCCTAAGGCTCCCAATCGCTAGCGTTTTATACCACAGTAAATAGCGCCCTCAGCGCCCAGGCCCTCAGTACCTGTATCAGTCTGGTACCCTCGTCCTCTTTTTCTCTAGCGCTCACACGAGTGAGACGTAGATTTCTTAAGCTCCCGAAGGATTTGCCTTTTTCTTCCGTATATCGCTAAGTATTGATTAAAGTAACATTAAAATTAGTTGTACACAAAGTGTGTGTCGTCTTTTCATTTCTTGTGAAGAAAAATACCACTCCTTAGATATTTTCTTTGCCGTTTTCGTTACTGGAAAATCACCAGTTCTATCGTTTCGTTGTGGAATCATGGCGGAGTCACGCAAGACTAAGCACGGCATTACCCCGCCCAATTTTGTTACGTGCGGCGCTTGTCGCCGCATTAAACCCCGGGCACCTGTGGACGCTCATGATTTATGCCCACGTTGCCGTTCATGCACCCCAGAAAATACCTGCGAGGTATGCCATACTTGGGGAGAAGACGAATGGGACGCAGTTTCGGCTTGGCTTAATTCACGGTCGCCATCGGTGGACTCGGCAGTGAGTAATTCTCCCGGGTCATCACAACGCAAACGATCGACCAAGAAAAAATTGGGTACACCTAAGTCACTTACCGGGGACACGCTTTCCGGGCCTCTGGCCCCCGGTAAGAATACCAAATACGCTGGGGCTGCGCCTTCCGGGCCTCCAGTCCCCATGCGTACTTCAGACAGCAACCGACCAAGCCACCCATGTACCGGAGACACGCTTTCCGGGCCTCTGGCCTCCGGTACACCGGGTGCAGGGAATAGGGCTACGCCTGCCGGGCCTCTAGCCTCTACTCCCGGTAAAAAGAAAAGCAAAAAATCGGACCACGCCGCCGGGTCCGGAGCTATGCCTTCCGGGCCTCTAGCCTCCGGTGCCCCGGAGAGGGATAACAGGGTGGCTCCTTCCGGACCCCTAGTCCCGTCTTCCGGCAAAGCGTGCGGTAAGAAAGTGGGCCGAACCGGGGACGAGCAGACGTCCTCCGCACCCTTAGCCCCCGGTGCCGGAAATATTACGCCGGACCGAGACGATCCGGGTAATTTCCGGGATACAGATCCGACCCAGATGGAAACCGGGTCGCCCGGGACTCACCGGAGCCGGAGAGATACGGTTTTGAAAGGTAAGCACCGCCATCACAAGAAACTCCGGCGCCGTTATTATAGCTCCAGTTCCTCTTCGGTGGAGTCCGTCTCGAGCTATTCTTCGGGCTCCCGACGCTCGCGTCGCCGGAGCTCTCGATCCGACAACATAAAACAAATGTTGTTACAGGGTTTCCAGCAATTATCGGCTACGATAACATCGTTGGTTCCTAAACCGATTGGGCAAACTTCGGTTAACGAACCAGTTACTGTTAGCCCTTCACAGGATCATGAGTCCGGTGATCAGATGTCAGTTTTTCCCTCCGATAATTTATCTTCGGATTCTGACAACCGTCCACGTCCCCGTGC